TTAACATTACATTACTACCTTGCTTTGTCCTCCCATGCAGCAATTTTCTCTCTCGACAACAAGGTGTTAAATTCAGTGTAATGAGCTGCAACAACAGATCCAAGGGGTGCCAAGGAAGTGGTTTTTACCTTGTTTGATTTGCCCTTGTGCTGCATGGCTGGACATGGCAGGGGGTGGCTTCACCTTGGCCATCTCAGGGGTGCCCGGCCTGGGTGGCCTAAACATGAAACATCCACGGGGAGACACGTCAGCTCCAGCCCCAAGGGCTTTGGGAACCACCCCGAACCCACGGCTAGATCCCGGTGGGGACAGCCATACCTGGTGGGGCCTTTCTTCATGTGGTCCCCGATGAAGGTGGCGTTGGTCATGCTCATCAGCGTGTTGGCCAGCGAGATGACGGAGAGCAGGTGCTGCGTGGTGACAGCCCGTGACACGCCGTAGGTGCCCTTGCCCAGGCCCTCGGTCACCGACGCCTTCCTGCCCAGCTCCTCCCAGGCCGCCCTGCCCACGGGCTGGTTGTAGCCAGGCAGCATCAGGGACATGTGGCCGCCTCGCGACAGGAGGCCGAAGGACACGGAGCAGTGTGGCTTCAGCATCCCCAGGCGATCCAGGCAGAGCTCGTCCAGCACCGAGTTCAGGCCCCAGGCGTGCAGGCAGGACATGAAGAGCTTGGCCGTGTCCATGGTTAGGTTATACTCCAGCAGAGTCAGCGGTTTGGATTTGCTGGAGCGATACTCCGGGTCGCCGTCTTCTCTCCTCTGCCTCACGGCCTCTTCATCCTCATCCTCATCATCCAGCAGGTGCTCCTTGATGTTCTCCTTGATGGTCTCCTTGACCTGCTGGAAGAGCACAGCCGCCCGTTTGCCAGTGAGGAAGGAGCCTCCCTTGTCAGAGGCGCCAGAGGCTTTCTGGAGGTTCTCCGGGGACACGAGGGCGGCGCTGGGCCGGGAGGCCTCCTCCGTCAGCAGCTGGATGATCAGTGCCTCCACGTCGAAGAACAGCACGTGGATGTCTGGGTCCGTAATGTTGGTCTTGATGGCCTGAACCATCAGGGAGTTGTGCGAGTATTTCGGTAGATTCCCCTGCGAAACGAGAGAGCAAGGTGAAATTTCCAATTGGCAAGTTTGAAACACACCCACAAGCCGCAGAAATTCAATTTACAGGTGTTTACAGGTAAATGGAGCTCTCCAAGTGAGACACAAGTTCACACTTCCCCTCCTGAACCCTGTGAGCGCGTAGTTATATTGCAAGGAACAGCAAAACTGTTATTAAGCTTAAAACACATTAAAGATTTCTTATTTGCAGGGTGAACAATGGAATCAATATATCCCACTGGAGAAGAAGCTGCTCAGATTCACCCCAACCTGCAGTTACTGCACCCCTTGGTCACTCCCCTTCAGTCCAAGAGGGCAAAAAGGCAGGAGGCAGAGAATGAAGGTGCTGTGGGAAAAAAGCTGAAGAATGTCAGAAAGGAGACTGGAAACCAGAACATTAACAAAAGCTTTCAAGCATTAAAACCTTCATTCCCTAACCCTTTCATTCCCAGTTCTGCCTGGATCCAGCAGGAGCAGCAGCAGAAACCCTGAGCAGACATTTTTCTACGGAAACATGCTGGTGGTGCTCTAAGGAATGATCTCAGCACGGGAGAAGGTGACAGCACAGGGCAAAAGCAAGGGCTAGGTGGGAGAAGCTGAGAATGGAGCCCTGCTGCCCTCTGCTGGCCACAAGCCGTACAGGGCAGCTCTAGGCTGATGTTGGGAACAGCTCCTCATGGATCATGGAACGGGCTGTCCAAACCCAGGGCAGGGCTGCAGTCCCCAGCCCTGGGGCAATTAGAGCCGTGGGCATGTGGCACCTGGGGACACGGGATAGCGGTGGGATAGCGGTGGCCTAGTGCTGGGGAATGCTCGGATTTGATTTCAGAGGGCTTTTCCAGCCTAAAGCACTGCACGACTCCAGACTCTGTAACTCAAGCTGCACAAAACCAAAGAGCAGGACACACACTGAAGCGGCAGCACGGACAGCAACACAAACAGGGAAAGAACCATGTTTAGGTTTTGGAGAGCTCAGGCCGAGAACCTTCTGGTTACAAAGATGGAAACTTCCCCTATTTCATTCCGTTCTGGAAAGACCCACCTTATCCGAGGCCTCGGAGGCCAGCAGGTTGGTGGCCAGGGTCTGCAGCTTCTGGTGGGCCACGTTCTTGAGGGCGGCCAGGCTGCGGCGGGTCATGGCCTGCTTCAGGTTGACGGCGGGGTGGCTGAGCGCGTCCACGGCTGCCGGCACGGCCTCGTCGCAGGCGCTGAGGATCTCCACGGCCGTGATCCCCATCACGCAGCGGTCCAGTGCCCCTGGAGCAGGGAGGGGACAGCTCAGCACCCCAGTGGCACGGGGCACAAACAGCTGGGTGTGAACCACGCTTTAGAAGCTCTGAACCAACACTGCTAAAGGATGGAATTCCCTACACTTCCACGAGGTTCCTCCCTGCACTTACACTTTCACAAGGTTCTTCTGGTGTGAATCTGTACCGAACGCCTGGGGTGGTAAGATCCAAACAGAAATGTGCCAAAGTGCCTGAGTTCTCCCCTCAGACACAGCTGCGACAGCACTAAGGGCAGATCTGTATTTATGTCCATTAAAAATGGATTAAGCAGCAGCTCTGAGCTCACCAGTGTCCATCTGCCAGACGTACACGGAGCCATCGGAGCATCCCACCACCAGGTAGTCATCGGACGGCCTCCACTTGATCACTTGGATTGGGAACAGGTGGCGGGAGGCCAGCATGATGCACTTCTTCTCCCTCAGACTCAGCAGACCCACGGAGTGATCGCTGGCAACAGAGCAAACACAGTGCTGCACTCTGGCCTAACACAGGAAAAAAAGAGAAACAGCTTCATCATAATGCAGAGCTGGTATTAAAAACCTTTCCCCCACTGGGCCGAACAGGGTGACCAAAAGCCTCTTTAATGCACAAAACTCAGGCACCTACATCAATGCTCAAACTCACTGAGGTCACTGGGAACAGAACTCCCTGACCAGAAATTCCCTTTAATCCATCCTTTGCACATCATGACAAGAAAATGTTATTAAACCCCATTTTGCTAAGCAAACCCCAGAGTTTTCCATCAATGTCACTTTGTTCATTAAGTTCTATTTATTCAGCTAAGTTTCAGGAGGCAAAATTGTCTCTAAACCCTATTTTCAATGGGTTTAATAAAGCCCCTATTTTCAACCTTTACAGAATTAAAGCATGGTGGAAGAAACCATAAATAGCAGAATAATCAAGCTCTTTTTTGTGAAGCCCTTGCAAGAGCTGGGTCAGTGCTACACCCCCAGCATTCCATGCTGTATTCCCTTTCTCCAGGAGGACTGAGGTGCTGGAAAGGTTATCCTAGAGGACTTACACTGCAGTTTTCTGGTGGAACGAGCAGCTGGGTGATTTCTCCCCCGTGGACACAGAAGATGTGTTTCATCTCTCCTGAGAAGATGTCCCAGATGATGACGGAGAAATCCACCCCCCCTGAGATCAGGTACCTCTGGTCATAGCGGGAGGACACCTGGTGAGGGTACAGCAAACACGTGACCTTGTTCCGGTGGCCTCGGAGCGTGCGGTGCGGGGGCCAGCCTGCCAAAAGGGAGGATGGGCAGAAGCACAGGAAAAGAGAGGGAAACAGAAATTCAACAGAACAATTGGCTCCCAAGTGTTTGTCCTGCAACTCACATCCCCAAACAGTGAGGATAATGTCACATGGAACCCACAGGTCCAAAAGCAGCCCAAGCACAACACCCAGATCCCACCAGGAACCCTGGCAGGCTTTTCCCATGGAGATCTCTAGTGGCACATCAGTACCAGCACTGCAGTGCCAGGAACAATTCTGGACAAGGCAGGAGATGCTCCCTTGCCTTACCTTTGCTCCTCCATCTCAAACCCCCTGCAGAAATACCCAAGTTGACCTTGCCTGAGTGAACAGCTGAAGGGACTGCCAGCGCAACAGGGCACAGCAGATTTATGAATGTCCACCCGCGCATGCCGTACCTCGGCGCAGCATGTGCTCGCCCTGCAGCAGCTGCACGATGGCAGCAGGTTTCTGCATTTGCAGCCGCGCATGCCGTACCTCGGCGCAGCATGTGCTCGCCCTGCAGCAGCTGCACGATGGCGGTCTGCGTGGCCGGCACGATGACGATGCTGCCGTCCTCGCGGCCGCACACCAGCCGCCCGTGGGCCGGCATGTAGACGCTGGCCGTGACGCGCAGCGGCTCGCTGGCGTTGGCCACCATGCTCAGCTGGTCGATGATCCCCGCGGGCCGGGGGCTCAGCTGGTCAAAGGCTTCCTGCAGGGACCTGGACGTGGCTGTCTGCAGGCCTGGGAAGGAGGGGAAACAGCAGGGCTAAGGTGGGAGGATTTAGCAGCTGCACCTAGCGGGTGCAGACGAAGATCTGATAAGATGAAGATACTACAACTCCTGCAAGGAAATAACAATTAAACCCCAGCTTAATGATCTGTGGGAGAAGCAGCACGCCTTTACCCAGCAAAAGCACACAGAAAGCACAGAGATCTGGCTGTCAGTTAGGTACCTTTTGCACCCTCCTGCTGCTCAAGGGCGTCGGGCACGCTCCAGATGCACAGCCTCCCTGAGGAGTCCCCTTGGATTAAGAGCCTGTAGGAAAACTCTCTCTGGCCACAGAAGAAGCGAGTCACTGGAGGACATATCAGGAGCTGTTTGAAAAGTAAGGAACAACCTCAGACCATGGCAAAGCACACACTCAGCTCCGTCTCCTTCCTTTCAAAGCAGGACGAACCCTAGCACAGCCCATGACAGAGCTCCACAGGAAGAGATGTACCTGTTTCTCTGCTCTGTCCAACACGCTGTACAGCAAAGGTGGAATCAGGTTCTCCACTGCCTTCCCCACATCCCTGCGGAACGAATCGCTGGCTGGGAGGCAGCTGGGGGTAGGAACAAAGAAAGGAGATAATCAATTTATAATAATAGAATTCCTTGCATTTAAAGAGTGATTCCTACACTAGGACATGGGCGCTGCTCCCATCCTCATGCTCTGATGACATGAGGGCAAGGAAGGAGTTCCCACATGATTTATGTGGGAATATTCAAATAAAACACTATCTCTACCCAGAACAAATACATCTGCACTCCATGAAGATGTCAGAAAGAATGTCTTTGATTTTACACTTCTCATTTTTAACCCCTTTGATGCCAAATTTTGAATTAATTTCATAGTTCTATATTTACATGTCTTCCCTTACTGGACCAATATGTCAGTATTTCATGAACTCAGTTCAATTCAAATTAATCAAAAATCAAATAAAGAGGGTATTTTTCTGTTGAGTACCTGGCTGGTAATTTATAGATGAAGCTTTGTCCATCCTCTGTCCATATGATCACTTTATCAGCTGCCACAAAGTCCCCACCAGTCCAGGTCTGCTCGTTTTCACTGGGCACTGAACATAAGAGGGAATAATCTCCAGCATCAAAGACCTAGAGGAAACAGGAACAAAATCTGTTGTTATTAACCAATTAATTCCACAGGATCGTGGAATGGTTTGGGGTGTTAAAAGCCTTAAGGGCCACCTTGTTCCAAACCTACACCACGGGCAGAGATTTGGATTACACACCCAGAAATACATTAAACACACAGCAGAGGTACATGCAGAGACTCGGAGCACCTTCACCTGGATGTTTCCATGCAGTTCAGTGAAGGTTCCTGGGGAGAAGGGCCGGGGGCTGTGCTTACCCTCCAGTACTTGGAGCACACGACCAGGAGCGAGCGCTGCGTGAAGGCGCAGAAGGAAATGCTCTGGCAGTTCTGGCAGTAGATGGGCTTGGACTCCTCCTCGAACACGGGTGTGGTGTCCTGAACCAAAGAGAGCCAGCACTCACTAACTCCTCCCTGCTGCACTGAGCCAGAGCCGTGCCAGGCCCAGGGCAGGCGCCAGGGCACCTCTGCAGGTGCCACGTGGCCCTTCCTGTGCACAGCCAAACCCTCGGAGCAGCTTTACTCCTGCTCCCTCCTGAGCAGGTCTGCAGGAGTCCCCTCGGGGCACCTGAGCCTCCAGCAGCACAGTAAATTGATTTTCCACTGGCAAAGAGAACAGAACCCTCCATCCCACCAGGAAGTGCCGCTGATCCAGCAGCCAGTGCCTACCTGCATCCGACTGACTTCTGAGGTGATGATCCAGACTTTCAGGATGCCAGTCACGGACACAGCCACGACAGTGTCCTCTGGGAAACACAAAATGAGCCTGAGGCACAAAGAGCTACTCACCTGGGCACATCTGAGCATAAACGAAAACCTGATCCAAGCATTCCTGGAGCATCTGTTTCCCAGTGGAATGTTTAGTTGTAAAGATGGAACAAGGAATAAATGAAAGGCATTAGCAGGAAACCCTCATAGCAGAGCCCATTTCCAGTTCTTCCAGCAATTTATTTGTTGTGGGGATAACAGCTGAGCTTTCCCACCCCAGGATTTTGGGAATGGCCAGTTTACAACTGTTGCTGAGCCTTAACCCAAGAGAGAAGTCCTTTGGTCAGGATTTTATCCTCAGTGTTCCCCAAACCTCTCAGGAATTCCAGTCTCCACAACAGGAACACCCCAACAAGACACTCGTCTGCCAGAATTAAAGCCCACCAAATTAACACCAGTGAGCAGAACCAACCCAGTCTGTGCTCAGGTGACACTCCAGCCCATGCCAGCTGATCCAGCTGCAGCAGGATTCCCAGAGAAGCTGGATCCCTGGCAGTGCCCAAGGCCAGGCTGGCCAGGGCTTGGAGCAGCCTGGGACAGTAGGAGGTGCCCCTGCCACAAGAAATACTCACCTTGTGTCCTGTTGGACCGGATGATGGTCATGGAGCTGATCCAGTCAGGAGAGATCTTGGATATCAGAGAGTACAGAACCTCCAGGCTGGTTGCATCCACGACCAGAATTTCGGGATAATGCCCGTGGCACAGGAGTCTCCCTTCCCGCTGCGTGCCGACTGTGAACTGATAGAACTGCAGAGATGGGAACAAACACCAATCAGAGTCTGTGCAGGACAGGGATGCCTTCATTCTGGACCTGGGCTGGCTCCCCAAGCCATCCTGCTGCCTGCAGGGGACACTTCCCGCCCTGCCATCGCTCCCAGCGCTCACCTGGATGCCCGTGTGAGCACAGGCCAGCTTGGTGAACTCGATGCACCTCCCATCGTTCACATCCCACAGGCACATCTCCCTAAAACACAGGGAAACCACGTGCAAAACAGGCCAGGCTTCCAGGGAGGAACCTCGCTTGAACCATTTTCCTCTCATGGTATTAGGGATTAGGCCAATTGTATTTGGAGAAACTCAAAATCAACTGGACCTTCCAGTCCGCCTAAATCCACATAACCTCCTGTTCCCTGTGAGGATAAATTACAGAACCTGCAGCTATTACTTCTTCATTGAAAACTTCATATTCAAATTTAATCAGAACAAAATCTGTGAGGTGCTTTCTCCTTTCCATCATCAGACAACATAGTTAGGTTTTAAATCTGATGGGAGGAGATTACTTAGCCCTGAAATCAGCCCAAGGTGGAAATTCTAAATTTTGACACATTCTGCCTTCAAATTCCTTGTTAAAAGGTTATTTAGGCAAATCATTCCTTAGCTTTTCTGGATAAAAAAATCTCTATCTATTTGGATATCAATTGCACAAGAAATCCTTCCTGCTCCTACCACTTAACTGCTGCTCTATGATTAATAAATAAAACCAATCAAAGATAAAATGTATTTGCTGAGGAATTTTCTCTTGAGGGTAAAAATTACACACAGCGTTGAATATATGGATAAACTGGGCACAAATTCCCATTATTGCAGTTTTGCATATAACAAACAGAAACTCACCCACTCTCTGATGCACTCACTATATATTGCTTTTCACTGGAAGCTGAGGCCTTGGATAAACAAGTAACTGAAGCTGTATGACCAAAGAGCAGAGCTCTGGGATTGATCTGAGAGCAGGAAAAGAAAACAGGGAGTCAAAATCACACAAATGACCAAAATACCCATATCCCAGCTGTCTACTTAATGTATTATATATCCATTAATATGCGCACACACATATTAAATGAATGAAAAGGATTGTCCTGCACATCAAAGAGTTTTCCCCAGCTTAGTTCCTGTATATTCACAAATAAGGGGAGACCTCAGAGCCCCTTCCAGTGCCAAAAGGAGCTCCAAGAGAGCTGGAGAGGGACTTGGGACAGGGAATGGAGCCAGGAAAAGGGGGAATGGCTTACCACTGCCAGATAGGATATTGGGAAGGAATTCCTTTTCACAACACAATATGAAACAGCTCAACTAAAAAGCAACTGCTTTAGAGCAGCTCCAAGAAACTGGAATGAGTTAAAAAAGCTTCCTACAGGAGCAGCAAGGAAGCCCAAGAGCCAAACACCTCTTTGTAACCCTTGGCAGCGCCATGGGAAGGGTGGAGCAGCACGGGAGAGGGAGGACAGGCCGAGGGGCACTGCCAAGTGAACTGTGCATGCACTACCTGCAGGTCAGGCCCCAGGTCCCAGAGGCAGATCTGCCCGTCGTGGCAGCCGGTGACGATGACAGAGCCATCCACGAGCAGCAGGGAGGACACGCAGTGGGTGGGGGCACGCCGGCCCCACAGCACGATGGGCAGCACCAGGCTGTTCCCGGCCATGGCCGCAGAGCGCCTGCAATTCCAAAAGCGAGGCAACATCAGTGACAGCCCGGGCGGCTCCCTTCCCTCACGCTCCTGTCCTCTTTTGCCCTCACAACTCTACCATCTCGTCCCCTCCTGTCTCTGCCACTTTGTTCCCTCAGGTATCCTGCCCTTTTCCCCTCAGGATTCCCGCCCTTTTCCCCTCAGGATTCCTTCTCTTTTCCCCTCATGATTCCTGCCCTTTTCCCCTCAGGA